TTAATTTGGAAAATTTGTCCCGCTTCGTTTCTGCCCCTTTTGTAACGTTTCTTTCTCTTCTCAATTAGTGATGTCCTGAATCACAGCTCCACTACAATACATCCTGTGGCTTGTCTGACCCGAGGGAGAGGCCTGCAGCAGGCTGGCTTTCCTGGAGTCTAGGAAAGATGTAGGGTCCCAGATGGTGTGATGTTGCCATAGAAACCCCTCTGTGCAAACCTCAGTTTCCCTCCTGGTTTGGAGTGTGGTACCAGACCTTGAGCTTGAGCATACGGACAAGGTTGCTCAGCTTGGTGAAGGACAAAGTGAAATATGACTATAATATAGAGCCTGCCTCCCCTCCCATCATGAGCACTCCATTTATAACCGCCCCCCTCCCCATGCTTAATCTTTCCGAGCTTGCAGTTACCTCCACCCCAGGCCCCCCCCCCCATGTTGCTGAACAGAAATTTTCTGACCTTTCATGTCATCTTCCCCTGCTGGAAGTTACAGGGTGCTGAGCTATCATTCTCTGATTTTGCCTCCCCCATACCTCCCTACACCACGTTGCCTCAGGTTTCTGGGTCTTGCTGGGTGGGTCCTAAGGAGGACAGGGATGAAGTCCAGAGGGACAAGACCTCTTGCTCAGTTGGTTAGAACAAATGGGCTTGATTTTCATGTGATTCAAGTAGCTATCCCTCTTGTCCATGGTTGAGAGATAGCCCTTCTTCAAAGACAGGCCCTGGGACACAGGGATCTGCGTGCAAATACGATCAGCTGAAGACCTTCGGAAGCCCTCCTGGAAATAGGCTTTGGTGGCATCACTCTCCTCCCTAAGGGACCCACGACTGTTACAGGTTCACGTTGGCATCTAGCCTTCCTCTGAAAGCTCCTCTGCAAACTTGATCACAGATAGAGAGATGGAGGCCTAAGATTTGGGAGGCATTGGACCCCTAATTACACTGTTAGTGGACATGCATGGGGTAACTCTGGAGGCTGTCTGGTAAATTAAGCAGCAGAGCATTTCAATTTGTTCATCACAAAGGAATGCCCTGCCTCAATGCCACTGCTCCCACTGTCATCCCTCCCTAGAGAGAAGCTGTGAACAGATGCCAAGCTCTGGTGGGTGCAGAGCCCATCCCTAAGCCCTACCTTGTGCCCCATTTCTCTTAGAATCTCAGTGACCCCCTGGAAACCTCATAACTCAAGGAGAACATGGTCCAGCACAGGCACATTTGCCTCTGACTCTCATTCTCCCCATTCCCTGAGACCAGGAGCTGCCTTACAGACTACAACTGCCCTCTAGAAACACAGGCTGGCCAATGTGGAGAAGAACTATTTATTGTTAGAGAAAGTCCAGAGTCCAGAGAAGGAAGGCTGAATGCAGAGCAGAAGCACAGAGAGAAAGCCCCACATGGGGCAGGGGGCCGAGAGGGAGGAGGGAGCCCAGGCATCCAGGCCCTGAGTCTAGGCGGCAGTGGCAAAGCCCACCCTGTTGTTGCTCATGTCGTAGACGGAGTAGTAGGATCTGAGGAAGACGTCCCCGAGGATCCACAGGGGCTGGCCATTCTGGGAGGGCAGGTAGGTGACCTCAACCCCCATGGTGCAGTAGCCTTCGTCATTCTGTACAACACAGAAGAGCAATAGTTGTTCATCCACTCACACATGGACAGGGCGCTGCTCAGCCCTGAGCCCCAGGCCAGGAGCACAGATGCAGAAACAGGGAAGCCAGAGTGTCTGCCCTTGAGGGCTCGCAGGCCAGCGGAGCCCTCAGAGCCAGGGCTGGTGGGAGGATTTCTGGAAAGGGTGGGTGCAAGCTCTGCAGGGTCTTCTCTCCCTGACAGCCCATGGCCTCCCTCCTACTCCTGATTTGGAGCAGATCAGCCTAGTGGTAAAGCCTTAGAGACAGACCAGCTTGGGTTCAAACCTTAGCTTCACCCTGACTAGCTGTATTGCCTTGGGTTGGTTACTTAACCTCTCTGAACCTCCAAGTTTTTTGTTTGTTTTGTTTTAATTTTAGTGGAGGTACTGGGGATTGAACCCAGGACCTTGTGAATGCTAAGCAAGTGCTCTGCCACTGAGCTATACCTATGCCCCTGAACCTCCAAGTTTTTACTTGTAAAATAGAAATTAGGATCTCCTTTATTGAATGTGTGAGAAGGAATTGGGATAAGGTAGGCCAAGGGCTTCACTCAGTGGCTGACCTTTGTAAGCGCTCGACAAACAGCCTAGTGCCTCTCCCCACTAATTACTAATAATCGTTACTGTGAATAATATTTCACAGCCTTGTTCCAGAAAATGGGGTTTAGAATCAATGAGTGGGGAAAATAAATCAATGTTGTAAGGAGTCAGGAAATGGGGCAAGGTAAGGAGACTGAGCATTTGTGGCTCCCCACCCTTCCCTCCCACCCTGCTCGTGTCCCCGCTGGCTCAGCCTGCAGGGGCCAGGACTTACATTGAGGATGTAGGAGGAGGGTGGCAAAGGGAACTGCACACCACTGATGATGAAGGTGAAGGTGGGCAGGCTCTGAGTGTTGTTACAGTCCACAAGAAACTGCAGAGAGGAACGGGGCCCAGGTTGCTTCACCTCCGACCTGAGAGCACCTGCAAGCCCCATCACCTCAGCCCCTCTGTTCCCAGGCCTGAGCCCCAGGCTTGCTTTTGGACTGGAGGTTGCAACACCAACACTGCTGGCATTACACATGAGGATTCACTTACAGAGCGTGGGATTTGGGGAGACCCAAGCATCTTTCCCACTCCAAAACATGGTTCTTGCCTGAATTTCCCCCAAGAGAGATTGTGTGCTTTTAAAACACATAGATCTATGCAGAGGGATAAATTGGGAGTTTACAATTTGCAGATATTAACTATTTATATATATATATATATATAAAATAGATAAACAACAAGTTCATACTGTATAGCACAGGGAATTATATTCAATATCTTACAGTAACTTGTGAAAAAGAATATGAAAACAAATATATATAGGCTGTACACCAGAAATTGACATAACATTGTAAACTGACTATACTTCAATTAAAAATTAAAATTAAAAATAAATAAAATAAAACACATAGGTCTATAGAAAGCATAGCCCATCAGTCCTCCAAAGTTAGTGGGAATGCATTAATTAGGCAAACACTTTGGTGGACTCAGGACAGGACAGGAATTAGGGAGCATGTCCCTGTGGAGGTAAAGGAGATATGGACTGAAGGATTATCCCTTGTCACTCACAGGCTTGGCCCCATATTCTAGTTATTTCACTCTTACCACAAAGCCTGGTAGGTATTTAACCTGTTTCCTCTGAGGGGCTGAAGCTCAGAGGGAATTCTGCTTAGTAATCACCTCCCTATATCCCTTTAGCACAAGCATCTGCCCCCTTCAAGCCACCAGCCAACCCCCAGCCCCAGTAATCCCCAGGCCCCCACCTCCAGTGCCGTGGGGCAGCTAGAAACGTGGAGGCCAAGAATCAGGCTATTCCTCTGCTCCCAGGAGAAACCATAAATGCCCCCTGGCTGGCCTCTCCTAGGGAAAGGGCCCTCCTCCACCACACACACCTGTCCGTACTGGTCCTCCTGGGCTCCCGTGGCCTGCAGAAGGGCACTCATGAACTGCTGGGGCACGGTGAGCAGAGACGTGCCGGTGTCCACAATGGCTTGGCAGCCCTGGGAGCACCAGCCAGAGGCCTGATCGCCAATGAGGAACCTGAATGGTGAGGCGATGGGTGGCCTTAGCACCTCCCAGCTCAGAGCATCTGGGGGCTCGGCCTTCTCACACTGAGGGACAAACAGAATCAAGGTGCACCTCAGAAAGGTAAGAACTCTGCAGAGGTCAGTCCAGCCATCCCCCTGCCTCATACCAGAGTCCGTCGAAGGCCACCAAATGGCCATTGAATCTCTTTCTAAAAGGTTCCAGGGACAGTCCTAGAAACACTGAAGACCAAGACTACTGATTCATTGTAAGTACTTGGAGCAAATTAGTCCCCCCTGCCAACACACCCCAGTTTCTAATCTCTAAGCCCTTCGGGTTGGACTACAGGGTCTGAAATGTCTGGGATTCCAAGTCCTGCCCCTTCCTTTATTGTCCCCACCCCACCTGTCTTCTCAGGCTGAGCTGGGCTTTGAGATTCCAGCCAAAAGGCTGTGAGGGTGCAGGCTTCTGAGGTCCTCTGTCCCGGCCCTCCAGCGGTACCTGGATGTGTGCATGTGGCATGAAGTGCCTCAATGCCTGTGGAGGAAGCCCACGTCCCCAGGCCCACTGCAGACTCACTCCTCGATGCCAATCTGCCAGTACAGGTCCTGAGTGACGGGGGTCCAGTGGATCTGCCCCGTGTACAAGCTGTTGTCCACACCCCCAAAGACAATTGCTCCCCCGTCTTGAGAGCTCTGCTGGCTGCAGGAAGTAAAGTGAAAGGTGAATCAGGGAGTGGCTGTGGAAAAGGACTTCTCTCTTGAGCAGTCACCCTCAGAGGGAAACAGAGGTCCTGCCCTGGCTCCAGAATGGGACTCCCTCAGGGCAAGGCTGTGTCTCCCCTCAGGCTGGGGCTCCCTGAGGACAGGGCTGTGTCTTCCCTCAGACTGGGCTCCCTGAGGGCGGGGCAGTGTCCCTCAACCTCTGACTGCCGCTCCCAGGCTGGGCCCCTCAGAATTCCTTGTGCCTCAGGTTCCTAGATGCTGCTGCTCCACAAAGTGCTGCGTCTGGGGAAGCTGCTAGACATCCGGCCCCGGCCCTGCCCCACACCGCCTTCTCCTCTCCCTTTCACTTCATGCTGCTGGTGGAACGCGTCAACGGGAGCCTGACTCGGGCCTGGCTTGTTATTTTCCTCCTGGACTTGGAGGGAGGTAGGGCCCGGGTGCAGGGGAGGGCAGGACCTCCCCTGTTAGACAGCAGTGAATCTGAGTGTGGAACTGGGCCGAGCGCCTAAAGGCTAAACTCAAAGAGTACTTGTCAGCAGAGGTGGAGAGTCAGTCAACAACACTAGGACCAGGATAATACTGTTGAAAGTCAGATCGAAGTGACTAAGCCCCAGAGAGTAGATGCTGACTGTCTCTAGAAGATGGTTGTCTAATTCTCGAGAGGAAAGAAGGAGAGTCCATCTCAGGCCACACCCCCAACCCCACTGCCCTGCTCTGGAGCCCATCCGTATGAACAACTATGTTTGCTTGTGTTTGTGGTGAGGGTAACAGCTCGTGAGGAGTTCATGGTGGACCTAGCCCGAAGGACTCCAGGACCTGTCTAGAACAATAGATCAAAGGAGATGAAGCAATAGATTACTACACAAAAGAGGTGTCTAGGTAGAAAACATTTGATCAGAAGGAAATGAGCTCACTGGGGCTCTGGGCAGGAGGCAAACCCAAGAGGTACAAAGAATCAACAGCAATACTCAAAGCAGAGTTCAACCAGAGAAAGGAGCAATTCTGTCCTGGCCAAGAAATGCAAAGAGGAGTCCGAGTGGGCTGGGGACAGATGCAGGGGTGGGGCAGAGTGGGTGTGTGAGGAAGTCAGAGGCCCAGCAGGGAAGGCCCTGCCAAATGCCTGCTAGGAGGCCTCCAAACCACAGTGTTGAGCCTCAACCGTCCAGGGCTGTGGGGAGAGTGGGCTGGCAGCGGGGGGACCACCAGGCAGTTCCTTACCTGCTGAGGTAGAAGCTGAAGACTGGGCAGGTGAGGGCACCCTCCTGCAGCATGCCCTGCAGGGCGGTGGTGGCCCCATCCATGGACAGGGCAGGGTAGGCCATGCCCATGATGCCATCGAACGTCGCATAGAGGAAATTGGTACCCGGCTCATTTTCACTCAGGCCAAACTCCTGATTGGGGACCCTGATGCCGTGGACCTGGAAGAGGCACAGAGGATGGGAGGTGGTGAATGTAACTCCACTCACCTCCCCAGACTCCTTCTCCCCAGGTCCTGCAAGACTCTTCTCCAAACCTCCCACACCTCTGCTTCTTCCCTTCTTGGTAGCTTTGCCAGAGCCACATTCTCTTCTGAGAAGCCTTCCTTGACTGCTGCAGCACCCCTCAACCCAATCTTCTCCTTCCCCAGGCTTTAAGCTCCTTAAAGAAAAGGACCAGATTGTCCCAATCATGGTGGTGTCCTTGGTGCCTGGCACTTGATGGCCCTCAGGGAGGGTTCAGTGAGTGAATAGGTGAGCCCTTATTGTACTGATTTCCTGGCCTGTACAGTAGAGCACTGGTGTTTTTCCATATATTTCAGGGTCCCCAGCTAAGTCTCCCCATCAGACTCTGAGACCTGTGAGGTTAGAATTCAGCTCACAGCCCCAGTCTACCTTCCCCACGTCCTCGGGTCAGGAGCAGCCAACATCACTCACCATCAGAGTGTCATAGCCAAAGAAGCCGGTGAGGCTGCCACTGCCGTACTGCAGGGAGAAGGTCTGCCCATTGGTAGAGTAGGTGGAGGACAGGCTAGGGTTGAAGCGTGTGTGGCTGGCTGCAAGGGAGGGAAAGCTCAGGATGTCAGGCTGGCCCACTTTCAGGCCTGCAGGGCTGCCCACTTGTCTTGCAGCCTATGCTCACACCCTGGGGCCTCAGCAACCCCCAGCCACCAAATCAGGTGGTGGCCAGCACTGGTAGGCCCACAGGAACTGGCCAGCCTTGACCCCAAAGTCCTCTCTGACTTAGAGAACACTGGGATGCCCTAGGACGGTGACCTCCCTGTGGGCAGGTTGCATAGACTCTATCTCTGTCTTCCTGGCCCCTAGCAGATCTCCTGACACTCAGTGAGTGCTGAGAAATTGCTCACCAGATGAAAGAGTGAATGAACCTCCAGGGCATTGGTGCATTCCCTGACCCTCGTCTCACCCCTACCGTTGAGAAGCTGGCCACAGCGGGATCCTGAGATAGCGTAGGGTGGGGCCAACGAGGGACTTTCTGGGCCAGAGTTGTCAAGACTCAACCCCCAAGGCTTTGGCAGGGAACAAGGCAGCCTTAGGAAGTGAACATCTCCTGTCTCCAAATACAGCCTTAGGAAGGGGGACCACATCTATATTGTCCTCCCGTGTCCCTTGGAGATGCTCAGTAAGAACTTAGTAAATAGTGGGGTGGAGTAGAATAGAAAGAAAGTTGTAGAACAGAGTGGGATGGAATGGCAGAGCCCAGAACAGAGTGGAGTGGGCAGGGCTGGGCTGGAGGAGGTGAAGGAATATATATTGGTGAGCGGGGAAAGCAGAGGGGCTGCCCAGCTCCGTGGCCAGCTTCTTCCCTCTGGCTTGGGCATGCTCAGTGGCCCTGGACAAGTCCCTGGTCCTTTCCAGTACTGAAGCACCCCCAGCAGTCTTTATGAAGAGCAGCCCTTCCTCAGAGGGTGTCAGTGCCCGTCCCTGCCTGCCACCCTCCCCTGCCCGGCCCGGCACTCACTGCAGGCCTGGCTCTGGCAGTAGACAGAGGGCACCCACAGGTTGGAGGAGCCAGTATCAAAAAGGACCAGGAAGTTCTGTGGTGGGGTCCCGATGCTGATCTCACCAAAGTAGGAAGCCTGGGGGTAGGGGGCGGGGAGAGGGCATGGGGCAGGCTGTTAGCTCCAGGTTGGGGGATCTAGGGACAGGCAGGCCCAGCCTCCTCCACAGGCAGAGTGGCAGAGTGGCCAGCCCTGCCCCACAGCCCACACCAGAAGTGGGAGCCAGAGCCTGCCCTCCACACTTGCCCAGAATCCACAGACCCCCGGTCCATGCCTGCCTGGGGCAGCCGCAAAGGTCTGTCAGCCTGGCAGGTCTGAGAGAAGGGGGTAGGCCCCAGGGGCTGGGTGGGAGGGTGCAGAGAGGAAGGGTGCAGCTCACAGCCCTGGCCCAGCCTTCAGCCTTTGGCAGCAGGGAGATGGGGAGCCCCAGAGAGGGTCGGAACTCACATCCATGTAGGCCATGGGCTCAGAGACCACGCTGAAGTCACTAAAGCGGTACTTCTGGACGGGGTCATACTTGTGGGTCCTCAGGAACTCCTCCAGCAGGCCCTTCTCCTTCATGGTCTCCCGGACGGACTTAAATTTCTTCAGGGGGACTCTGTGGAAGGCCTGAGATCAGTGCAGGGCCTCCCTCTTTCCTACATCTCTAATACCCCAATCTCTCTCTCCTTCTCTCCCTCTGTCTCTTTCTACCCATCTCTAACTGCATGCCTCAGGCTTCCTGCCGCTCTGTCCCCCTGTCTCTTGTATGTGTCTGTGTGTCTCCCTCTTTTGGCATTTCTGTCTCAGGCTGTCTCTCTCTGTCTCTTTCTCTCTCTGTGTCTCTTCCTCTTTCTCTCTCTTTCTCTTTCTTTCAAAACCCTTCTCAGGACTTGCTCTGAGATTCAGAAAACAATTCCTTTCACTCATGCATGTCCCCAGCCCACCCGAAGGATCTTCATCCCACCTTGGTCCCTCACTCTCAGGTATCCCATGAACTCTTTCCCAGGAAAGGGAGAGGGACATCCAACATCACCCTTTGCTGGGTATGTGAATTTTTTAAAAAGGTTTTAGAGATGGCAAAATTCACCCCAAAGGGAGTCCTCTTGTGTGGTGGCCCTCAGGCACCTGGCCCCGGCTGAATGTGACAGAGCGTGGGTTCAGGGGAGCAGCACTAGACTGGGACTCAGAAGACAGGGTCCTAGTTCTGCCCCTGCTGCTAATTGTCTGGCCTGGGGCTAATCCCTGCTCCTCTCAGGACACTGGGACACTGGGGAAATTGGCCTGAGTGGGCTGGAGGCCAAATCAGCTCTGGAACTAGAACTTGTGAATTATCGGTTTCTGCCCACGTCCTCCCAGTCCTGCCTGCTGCCACTGCCTAGAGGGCTCTGCGGGCCCACCCAGGCCTCACTCCAGGGTCTGGAATTCCTGCTTCTTTCACTTCCTTCCCCATCTTCCCCATTCCCTCAAGACTCTGCATTCTCCGGAAATCTCTACTAAACCCATTCACCTTGAGCTATGAAGGCTGATAGTAGCTTCATGCCACCACCGTGAACTAATTGGCCTATTAAAGAAGTTTCTGAGAAGTGCCATCTCTTCACCAAAAAAACAAAAACAAAAACAAAAACCTCTCTTTAGTGATGGAACAGCAGGCAGTGTGGTAGGCCGAGAGCCCTCCTGATGTCCTTTGAGCCGTGCCACCCCATCCTCTTTCCCCTGACACCTCAGCGTGTAGAGATTACATTACTGGGTGTTTCTGCTTGGATGATTTTGGCATTGGCCAAATAAATTGAGGGCCTTAAGGAAACTTTTAGCAAATATGTCCCTCTCCAGATAATCGTACCAGCCGTCCAGGGTCTGCTTGGGTGGTAGCCACCCCTAATCTCTCTGTTTCAGGTCCATCTTTTCTCATCAGTAGGGGAAAGGATGGTGCTTCTCCCTTTGACTGGAGCTTTGCTGAAGGCAGAGGCTGTATCTCCTCCCACCTCTGAGTCCTATCCCACACTGACTCAGGGAGCCTCCCCTGCCCCTGGCAGGAATCCCAGAGAAGAGGAAGGTCTCCCCTTGCAGAACTCCAGTCTCCTGCCCTAGCAGCCAGGCCCCAGACTCACCTGATCAGTGTTGCCTCCAAGAGCTGGAGGCAGCCCAAAGCCACCACCATCCACTTCATGATGCTGATTCCCAACTGGCCGCAGCGGCGAAGTTGTGCCGTCACTCACAGTGAGGGCCCGAGTAGTACTCCTTCCTCCTTTATACCCCCGGGACCCAGCCCAGGCCCTGTCTCCCTGCTCTCGGCAAGCATGACCTCCGTCCTGGGCGCACCCTGGGCTCCACGTATCAATTATTTCTCTGTTTTCTCTTGCGACGGTGGCTGCAAAGGACTTTTCATCTTATTGACTTTTCAGTCCAAACATGGAGGCCAGGAGGTGCCAGCGATAAGAGAACAAAGTCTCCGTAAGGTAGAGCGGCAAAGATCACTCCTCGTCCGGGAACCAGAGGTGTGATGTGGGCATTTTGGGGTGAGAGCCAGAGGAGGGTAGAGTGAGGGCCATATGATCTGCAGACAAGTACTTCTGACATTTGGGAACAAAAAGCTCTGTTTTGTGGGCACTGTAGGATGTTTAGCTGCATCCCTGGCCTCTACCCACCAGATGCCAGCAGCAGTTCCCCAGTTGTGACAACCACAAATGCCTCCAGGCCTTGCCAAATGTCCCTTTCAGGAGCAAAACCGTTGAGGATCCCTAGTCTATGGGTGATTCACTCAGAGTTTCTGATTCAAGTCCTCGTTCCAGCAAGCATCCCCAAGTCCCTGAGGGATGCAGATAGCGGTGTCTGGGGGATGATGGGGTCAGTAGCTAAGATAATGGTAATGATGATGGAGTAACGGAGGTGCTGAGAGTGATGCTGATGGTGGTGATGACGGCGGTATTGTTAGTGCAGGGCTGGATCGCCAGTGGCTGAAATCAGGGCTGTCTGGGGTAGCTTTGGATGCTTTCCTGGTTAAAAGGAGCAATTTGAAGAAATTTTTATTCTAAATCAGCAAATGCTCAGGACATACCCACAGTGTAAGCCGCACTGGTTTTTGGTTGTGCCTCTCGCACTAGTCTGGAACAGCAGGAGGCCGGGGCAGGGGCACGGGAAGAGGGGACATGCAGGCCCCTGCTTCTGTACCTCATCGTCTCTCTCCTTCTGTCCCACTGCATCTCTGCCCGTGTCTTTAGTTCTCCTAAAGTGCCTCTGTCCCCCATTACCCCAGCCCTTGTTGCCCTTTCTTCCGCTCCCAAGCTTGATCTGCTGTGTCCTCGGTCCCTCCCCCTCGGGTCCTCCCTGATGCCCTGCTCCAAGTTTCTCATTGCCTGAGGTGACCTGGAGCTGGCCCAGCATCCTCTTACCTGGCACAGGAGAACTCTCCATTTTGGGGTGAGTGAAAAAAGTCCCCATGCCAGTACCCTCTCTGCCACCTTGTACCCCTCACTCAGGGCTCCAAAGAGATTTGTCAGGCCCTTGAGCCCCAGGCAGAAGGCCAAAACCAGGCCTGCCAGTGGAGACTTTCCATTCTGGCAGGCCTGTCCAGCCACTGCCCAGCCAGAGCCCCAGAGCCTCCCCAAGCCCTGTAATGGAGGATGTTGGGGGCACAAGCAGTCTGCCTGGGCCTGGCACGCAGAGAAAGAGGTACCGGCCTGATTGTGTCTCAAGGACAAATCAGCTCCCTGCATTCCTCCCTGAAGTCTCCAGGGGCACGTTGGACTTGGGTGGAAGGCAAGGTAAGGGGGGAGTCCTTTCCCTGGGGTGGGAGAATCTGCAGATTTGGAAGAGTAGGCAAAAGAAAGTCATAGGATCCTTGGAATCATGCCACATCCTATATTCATAGGATGAATATAGCAGAATCCATGGGGTCCCCTAAGTCTTATGAGTCCAACCAGACTCCCCAACATGGGCCTCCAAGGACTCTTTCCTTATCTGGAAGGACACTAGGAGTCTGATGACTGTAGGCTAACTGTCCCCAAATTCCAGTCACATCACATCCCTTCTGGGTAGCCCTGGCCTACTGCATTGAGCCAGGGCACCCTGTTTGGCTACCAGGCCCTGAGCTCTGCAGCCCCTGCCTATCCAGCCTGACCTGACAGCTCGGTGTCCCCATACAACCTAAGTCCTTGTCTGCCCTGGCCTGCCCCACTATCCACCAGCCTCCCCTTCCTGGAAAGCCCACTTCTCTTCCTTCTACGTGTCCATGTTCTGCCCATCCTTCAGGACTTCTCCTCCTAGAGCCAGGGATGCACAGAGTCTGAGGAAATCTTAGAAGTCATCCAGAGCTACCTCCCACCAAGGACAGGAAGCCTGACCTACTGGCTCCCCACCAAATTTATCGTCTACCCCTAAACACTGCACACCCAGCTGGGGCCCTCCCCTTGGTGACAGATCACACCCTGTCTAGGATCGGTTTCCAGTTGTTTCCAGAGGTATATTTCCTCACTCCATAGACTAGAAACTTCTAAAAGACAGAGACTGCAGCTCTCCCCTCCCTGTACCTGGCCCAGAGCTCAGGAAATCCTGAGCAGTAGATGGAGTCCATGGGACTGTTCTCCATGGGGCTTGATTATATCTCCCTCACCCCAGTATCCCAGGGCTCTGATTTCCACCCCATGCTCCAAAGGGATCGTGTCAAAATCCAGGGGCTGGGGTCCTCTCATAGTGATGATCTCCCAGGAAAGAGGCATTTTCTTATCACCTCTGGTCTCCTCTCCTTCTAAGCACCACCTCTCTCAAAACTCATCAAAGCCTCCCTGGGACCAAATAAATAAAATCCAAACTCATCACCCTGGCCTTCAGGACACACTCAGTCTGGCCCCTCCCTGCATGTCCATGTTCATCTTCTACTTCTAGCCTGTACACGCTCTGTGCTCCAGCCATCACGACCTCCTCGCTTGCTCCCAAGGAGGCCTGTTGTTTTTGAGCCTCCATGCCTTTATCCATGCAGGCCCTCCACCTGCAACACCTTTCCCGAGCATCTCCACCTGCAAAATCCCCTCATCCTTCAAGAACCAGTAAGAATGCCACAAAGCCTTCCCTCCTGTGCCCACCCACTCTCAAACTGGTCCCTTCATGGAGGACTTTGCTTTTCCTCCCCTTATGGTATTTATTTTATACCATCTTCTATCCCAGTAACTTGCCTTAAATCCCACCACTTGTCACCAGAAGAAGAGGTTTTTTCCTTCACATGGCTCCTTAAACAGCTCATTCACCTTTCAGAGTGACTATAAAAGTGACACTGGTTGCTGGGCGTGTCTCAATGAGATGACAGCTACTAGCATGCTCACTGCCACTGTTAATTCTTCACCCATGGCAGGCATCACTAATCAAACAGATCACTCTTGCCCATGGTGTTGAGACACGGCCTTAGGATTCTTCCCAAACTAGTGCTCCACACCACCATTCTCAGTCTTGACATGACAATTCCCAAGTCCGTTAATAGAGGTGTTTCTGTTTTTAAATTCTGGATACAAAATTTCATTTTGAATTCTATACATATACCACTTTAAAAAAATTCAAGGCAACTTGAAACTGCAACTCTCTGCACCATTCTAAATGACTAAATTATCTTCTGGCCCTTAATGTACACACTTAGATTTTGACATTGCTGTAATCAGTTTGTAAATGCTACTTCTGCTCTTGTTACTTCAGATTACTATGTACACACTTCCGAGAATTGAGATAAGCCATGTTCTTATCACGTCCAGTGGCTGCACAGTGCTCTAACATCTCGGTAGCTAGCATTACCTAGCCCTGTTCATGTGGGTTGATTCTAATTTCTCATTTCCATCAGAGCACTTGGGCACAGACTGAACATCAACCAAAGGAAGAGAGTAGTGAAGTTCTCATCACCCGAGTCATTCAAGCGGAGGCTAATGGAGCACTTTTCGAGGAACACTAGAAGAGAGATCTCTTGCAGTGGGTGAGATGGGGCTAGGGGTCTGAGTTCCTCTGTCTATTCTGACCCCTGCGGTAAGTTCACAGAGCTAAGAGCCCTCGCCTCATCTCTGGGGATAGGTAGTTTATAAACCTTACATCTTTGGCAGCTGTCTATATAAATTTTAGGTACAGAGTCCACTATCAACTTGGTTTCATAGTTTTTTCCTTACATTTTGTTTTATACTTACATCATTAATTCAATCAAACCTACTGGGGACAAACTGGATCTGAGGGGTTTTTTTTCCCAAGTTCAAGGATTTATGCTTTTTTTTCTTTTGATATAATTTTTGACTTACAGAAAAGTTACACAGTACAGAGAGTTCCTGTATACCTCTCATCCAGAATCCCCTAATGCTAACATCTTACATCATAGCCATAGTACACTGATCAGGCCCAGGAAATTAACCCTGATCTAATACTAATAACCAATTTATAGACCTTATTTGAATTTCACGAGTTTCCCCACTACTGTCCTTTTTCTTTTTTTTTTTTTTTACTGTCCTTTTTCTGATTCAGGATCCAATCTGGGTTCCCATATTACATTTCGTTTTCATGCCTTAATCTAATCTGTGACAGTTCCTTGGTTTTTCTTTGTCTTTTATGACCTTGCTACTTCTAAAAAAGCACTCATTGTTATTTTTGTAGAATGTCCCTCAGTTTAGGTTATTCTGATGTTTCCTCATGATGAGATTGAGGGCGTGCATTTTGGAGCAGAAGCCACCGAGGTGATATACCCTTTTCAGTGCATGATCTCAGGAGGTACGTGTTGTGGGTGGGTCTTATTACTGGTGAGTCAACCTTAGTAACTTGGTTACGGTGAGGTCTACCAGGTTTCTCTACTCTACAGCAACTGTCTTTCCCTTGATAATGAATAAGTGTCTTCTGAAGAGACACTTTGAGACCATGCAAGTATCCCGGGTCTCATCATTCTTCTGCCCACCAGTTTGAATATCTGTTATTGGTTCTTACCTACAATAGTCATTATTGTGATGCTTGCCTAACAGTGTTTTCTATTCCCATCATTCCTTCTACATTTATTAATTAGAATTCTACTGTAAGGAAGAGTTAGGTTCAAGGTTTTAAAATAGGCTCTTCCTCCCCTACCAAAATACCCCATCATTGAAGTTGTGCCAGGCAGGGTACTTTATATTTGTTTAATTAGACAACCTCCCCAAAACCCCACAAGGTAGGTTACCCTATCCCCATTCCCCAGAAAAGTCCATTTTATGCATCTATACCTCAAATAGCTGGAAACTGATCTCTCTGTGTGTAAATGGATAAATAGCCAGATTGTTGTTTTCTCTGATCTATTGATAAATGTACCTTTGCTAGCAGACAACAGCTTCTTATCTGGCTTAGGTGGAAAGGGGATGCTTTGGATGGATGGCAAGGTGTGTCATACTGCAGCCCAGCTGCAGGAAGGGGAAGGATGAGGCAGAGCCTCGGGATCAACTGGAGTCTGGGATCCAAACACCATCAGGACCTTTGCTTCTCATTCTTACTTCCTCTCTCTCTCTCTCTCTCCCCACCCCCTCACTGTAGGCTGGATTTCTCCTAACTGGCCACTGCAGCTGAGTTTTACATTTCCAGAGAAAGAATGAAACCAAATTCCCAAGAAAGCTCTCTGGCCCCTCTTTGGTTAGGTACCCACCCCTGAACCAACCACGTGTGGCCAGCTGGCAGAGCTCTGTAGGAACATGGCAGCCATCTCAGGAAGCATCTTGAAGAAGGTAAACAGGATAAGCTCCCAGAAGAAGTAAGGGATGTTTTGGGGCAAATAACCTCAGAGATGTCCATGCAGATTTATTTCTGATGACCTCTGGGCCTTCCTTCTAACTCTTCATTCCCCTCTCTCTGCACATATTAAAGAATGTGATGGTGACATGTGATATGGAATTGACTTTAGAAGATCAATCTCCACCACTGGCTGACCCTTTGACCCCGACACTTAAGTTATCCTTTGTGAGCCTGAGTTTCCCTGACTGTAAGACAAGGTTAGTCGTCTGCCCCTCAGGGTTGCTGAAATAATCCAATAAAACCATGGTTATAAAAGTGCTAGCACATAGCATGCCCTCCATAAATACCAGCTGAGTTAGAATCTTTTTCTTTAAATCGGGCAGGGGGCTGGGGTCAGGGACTGAAGAAGAAAAGGGACCTCTGGGGAGGGCTGATGGTGTTCCGGTCACGTGGGTCTGTGAGAAGTCAGTGAGCTCTGTACTCATGATACATGCGCCTTTCTGTATGTATGTGTATTAAGCCTCAAGTGAAAGTTTTCTAAAGTCCTTTAGAAGGAAGAGAAGCAAGGAGACAGAACATCTGTCCTCAGAGATTCCCCCAAAGGTGAAGTGGGGAGGCAGTCCTTGCTCAGGGAGTCCCGGGCCAATGCAGACACTGCACATCCATCCGTGATAGCACTGTCGTCCTCAGCAGAGAAGCAGAGATGACTTTAGGGGCAATGAGGATGAACATGTCTTTTCTGCATAGCTGTGTACTGATTATAATAGATTTCAGCTCAGACGTGTATCAGATACATCACAGCCATGATTTCATAGGTGTCCGTGACACCCTCCTTACTGACAAATGTCAGGAAGCGGCAGATTGCAGCCTGAAATCCTTGTCACCGAAGATTGAGTCTCCCAGGCAGGCCACTGTGCAGAGGGGCAGAGCCTGCAGTTACCCGAGGGCCCAGGGGGGCCCCCACCCTGGAGTCTAGGTGTCCGACTTCTCCCTCCCTTCCTCCTCTCCAGCCCTGGGCCCCACAGGGAGGGGCAGTCTCCTAGATGTGAAATCTAGTCAGAAACTCCCAGCCTGTTCTTCCTACCAAAGCACTGCCCAGAGGTGGCCATTTCCATTTGACAGGTGGGAACACAGTGAGCACAGGGTCAGTTATCCTGCCAAGCGGGGGCGCCCTGTCTGGCTCTGTCCACGCTGCCAGCTCAACCTCCTCCTGAACTACTGTCCCACATCTCCAGAAATGGCGCCTTGCACAAGCCGGAGAGCTGGCAGGGAGACTTGGCGTGGCCGCTCCCGCATCCCCACATCAGCAGATTCTAACCAGTGGCCACATGCAGATAATACAAAAATCATCAGGGTGGTATTTGAATGACATATTTGGGACCCAATGACCTATACTGAGTGGGCATGAAAGTCAAAGTGATCTGACCCCCCTCCATTTAACCCAAAGGCAGAGCCTATAGCTGCTTCATTTGGGGTCTCTCAGAGCTCAGTCCTGAGAAACAGAGTTTGGCTGGAGTGAGTGAAAAAATGGGGGCTCCCTAGCTTCCCAGAGGGCGTGCCTCTGACCAAAGACTTAGGCAGAGCCAGTCTATCTAGCAATGGCCAGGCCCACCTTGTTGTTGCCCACATCACAGATGGAGTAGCAGACCCTCAGGAAGATGTCGTCAGGGAGCCATAGGGGCTGGCTGCTCTCTGAGAGCAGGTATGTGGGCTGGAACCCCCCGAGACCATTACTGCACTGACCTGGAGGAAAGGAGTGAAGCTGTTAGCAGGTAAGTCTCATGGGTTAAGGAAAAATCTGAGCTCTGAAATCAGAGAAGACTAGATTCAAACCCCAGCCCACATCTAGCTGGCTGTGTGACATTGGGCAAATCCTTAACCTCTCTGAGCTTCAGTTTCCCCATCTGTTGAGGGAATGAGATAATGTGATCCATTATTGTGTTTTGCGCAATGAATACAAGTTAGGCAAGTGAAGAGAGTGAGAAAAGAATATTTCTGGTAGTCAAAATAGCATGTGTAAAGGACCTGAGGTAGGAAAGATGAAGTGATAGGGCCAGTGAGGCTGGAGTATAGAAGAGGGGCCCACTAAAGGAAGTAGAGGCCTGATCACCAGAGCTGAGCCCTTGAGACTTTTTTTTTTACCACAACCCACAGCTAAAAATACAAGTTACACTATAGCCTTATGTACACATATATACAACATATAACTAAAACAAAAGCTTCACCCCAATGAAAATTCTAATCTATAGTGCATGTAATGAACACTAATTTTTCTACTCTTATTGATTTCTAAAGTGCTAGTTTCAATCAACTAAATTGATTTCTAATGAGTTATGAGCTGCAATTTGAAAAACACTGATCTCTATGGCATCGAGCACATCTTGCACTTTTAGCTGTCATTTCATACATAAGCAATTAATCACGGGTGTTCAGAAAGCAGGGTGGTGTCTCCTCCCATCTTTGTGCCCCCCTCAGTGGAGACACAGAGGATACTCAATGTATATTTATTAATTAGGAGCAAGTTCGAAGACTGGGAGAGAAGGGGGGCCCAGCCCACAACATTTGGAGGTTTGAGTAATCTAAAGAGGACCCACTGTCCACCCTACTTCTTGGGCCAGTGGAATGGAGACAGCCCACACGTTTTAAGTGCCAAGTCTCGGGTTTAAGAAGGGGCTGAGTGACCACCTGTGGGAATGATGGTGGCACTCATTTCTAGGACTATCATGAGAGCTTGAAGAACTAATGTACACAGACCCTTGGCTCTGCGCCTGAACCAGGAACAGCCACCAGCACTTACAGGGTGCTCAACCTGAGCCTAGCCCTGCTCTAATGGCTTTACATCCACCAGTATATTTAATCTCACCAGGAGCTTATGAGATAAACACTGTATCGTCTTTATTTTACAGATAAGGAAATAGAGGCTCAGAGAAGCTAAATGACTTGCCCAAGGTCACAAAGCTCAGAAGTGATAGAACAAAGATCCCAATGCAGATGGACGGGACCTCAACCACTACACATTCTGCATCTCAGAAAGCTCTGGATAAATGGTGGTAACTGGTATTACTCTTGTGAAAGAGGTTCCTGGTATTACAGCTAAGATCTTATGCAAATCTGATGTCCCAGAACTCTATGGGCTACAAATGGGCTCCCTTCCCACCTGGCCCCCTGGGGCTTTCCCCCAAGGCCAGGTACTGAGAAGGGGGAGGGAGATGGGGAGAATCACAGAGATGAGGTACTGAGGGCCGAGTGGGGGAAGTGGATGCCTTTGATGGTGCAGGTAACAGTGGGCAGGCTCTGGCCACTGCTGCGGTTGGTGACAAACTGAAGAAATCATGAGGAAGGCGGAGACGGGTGGTCAGAATCTGCTCCCCCAGGGCTCCAGGAGCAGAGGTGGCTAGTCCCACAATCCAGAAATCCACCCTGCATTCAAATCCTTCCCCGCCTTGTCCTCCAACCTTCCAACCCTCCTCTTCCCCGCCACGGCAGGTATTTCCCCAGCCCCGATAAATGCCCCAGTGAAGGCACCAAGATGGAGTCCAAGCAAGTAGGGCAGAAATATGAGGAAAGGGCTGTTGCTGGGGGAGCTTTTGAAGGTGAGGGGGCAGGGCAGGGAGATTAAGCAGCTGGCAGGGAAATGATGTACAAACCCTCAGGGAACTTGGAAGAAGCCCCTCAGGTCAGTGTCCTTTGACTTCCCAGTGACAGTGGATTGGGGGACTGGGGGTTGCCTCTCTCTCCTCAGCTGTTACACCTAAGACCCTGATGAGCTATGTCAGCTGACCTAGAATCTTCTCAGGGACAATGATGAGGGAGATGCCTGTGTCCATGACAGCCACGCAGCCCGGGGAGCACCAATCAGTGACCTCGTTCCCTACAGACAACCTACAGGAGGAGCCATTAGAGGTCAGAGGTCATGCCATCCCTCCCCCTTCAGCCTTCATGCAGACTCTCCCTCTTAGCCCTCTAAGCCCAGGTCAGTTCCCAGGTCTGCCCTGGACTGGGAAAAGCCCTGTATTTTTCCAAAAGGAAGCCCCCCAGGCCCCCTCCCTTGGTGGGGGAAATGGGATTTGAATCTCCCTACCCTTGGAAGGTGATCTCCAGTAACCTGGGCAACCACAGGGCTCCAGGAGACCTCGCCTGTGGACAGCTGGCTGTTCTTACCCCGAAAGGTGACTTCTCCCGTGGTAATGTCATCTTGTCTGGTGCAGACCAGAGACACCATCAGACTCTGGAGGAGGCAGCTGCAGGGTGACTAGACCCCAGTTTCTGAGCTGACCCCTCAGGCCTGTTCCTCTTTGCCAGCCTCCTGTTCCTCTTGTTCCCCCACAGCCCCTGGCTCAGGGTGAGGCTTCTAGCCAGATGGCCACAAGCTCCTGTCCATAATGGTCAGTCATTTGAAGAGCAGAGGAGGCAGCTTCCAAGTAGCAGGGGTGTCTCGCCTGGTGAGACAGAAACTAATCGTGGGCTCTGGAATCAGGCTCCATTTTAAAAAGCCATTCATGCCTGTGGCAGCCCTACTGCAGAGAAGGAAGAGGAGGCCAGGCCCTTTATCCCATCAAACTGGATGCTTTAGAAGTGGTTTCCCGCCACATTTGGCTCAGGCCAAACCCATGGTTCGTGATGGCCAAGCCCTGGATCTGCCTGGATACAGGAGGAGAATGTCCCTGGGGATGGCCCTCCAGAGGCCTTAGTCCTGCAGCTTCCCTCAGCAGGAAGGAGGCTAGACTCCCAGCTCACCCCTGCCCTGGCCACCGCCAGTTATCTGATGTCACCGTGTGGAAGCCCAGGACCCTGGTGACAATGCAGGTCCTGTACAGCAACAGAAGCAGTGGCCTCAGCAAAGAGTTAGTCCGTAGAGGGCTGCTCGGGCTGGAAGAGTGTGTGCTTGACCGTCGGGAGCAAGGACTGGAGATCAGGGCTCCGCTCCCTCCCTCTCTTCTCACTTCCACATCACCCTTTCTAGTCCCTGCAGGGAACCCCTGTGACTGCCCTGTGACACTCAGGACAGTCTGGACTTTCACCGGGAATAAGGACGCCCACAGGTTGGTGGAACCCGTGTCAAAGAGGATCATGAACTTCTGAAGGGGGTCCTCATGCTGATGTCTCCATAGAAATACGTCCACAAGGGAGACTCTGTCATTGAGAATGCTGGGCCTCAGGCCCCCAGGGACACATAGCCTCTTGGCTCCAACCTCCAACAGCTCCCTGAGGGCCTGGCTTGGACTCTTATACATGACTTCCCAATTGTCTTGAATCTTTAAGGTACCTCCCCTCTGACTACAGCTGAGGGCAGGGTTATATCTCCTCCCTCGGACTGGGATTCCCTGGGGACAGAGCTGTGTCTCCCCTCAGACTGGGGCTCCCTGAGGACAAAGGTTTATCCCAGTCTCTGACTGGGGCGTGTGGGCTGGGACAGGGTCTGAACTGAATTGCTTAGGTCAGGGAGGCTGGGAGAGCTTTCAGGGGAAAGGCTACAAGGCGGCAAAGTGTGAGACCCTTAGCACAAGCGAGCCAGGTGGGGTTTGGGAGCCCAGTGCGTGACTACACTTGTACAAGAAGACACGGAGTCTCCCAAATGTCCTTGTGTGGGATGCCTATGAAAGGGCAAGGGGCTGCCAGGAGATGAGGATAACTTCAGAGCCTCCCACCGTGATTTCAGTTCCCCCACTCCCTACATGATGCCCTGTGCCCAGTCTCTCCATGTGCAGACCCCCTCATGCAAAGTGCCTTTCAAACCAGGGGTCTCATCCCAGCAGTTGATGGTGAAGTCAATCTGATAGGTCCTGAAGAGGGTTCTTTTTAAAATGCTACTAACTAGAATAGAATAAATCAGAGTGCAGAGTTTTGACAACATGGCTATGCAGGGCTTTGCATGTGTGTGTGTGTGTATGTGTGTGCGCACGTGTGATGCAAAATGCTGAAAGGGCCCCTCGCTCACACTGTCCAGAATGTATACTCAGAAACACACATACACATGCGGGGATGCGCTTGCATGTCCATGTGCTCACATCCAGCCCTGGGCTGCACACCAGCTCCTGCTCCCTGACAGACACAGCCGTTTGTCTCCACCTGTCCCGACACACTTTCTTCCAAGCTGGGCGACAGGAAGACCTCCCATGCTCCGCCTCCATCCCATACCTTCTCCTCCCCTTCCTTTTCCCCTCCTCCCTTTTCCCCTCCTCCCTCTTCCTCCACATGGTTCTCTGCTCTCCTCTTCCTCCCTCCTCCTCCTCCCTGCCCTCCTCCTGGCTTCCCCTCATCACTGGTGCTGTCCCCTCTAAGCCTCTGCCAAGAGATTAGCTGCCCAGGACCCCTCTCAGCACAGTGTCTGGACCAGGGAAAGCCCCTCTGTGTGACTGCATTTCCCAAGGTGGAAATGAGGACAAGTGGTTTGACTTCAGCACAAGACAATCAACCTCAGGCCAGTCCCAACTGCCCTGTTCATGGGGTCACCTTGTGCATCTGCACCGCCTCCCTCAGTTTCTCCCCCCGAGAGAATGGCCCACCTGGCAGTGGGGGCTGGATACTTCCAGATACTCCCTAATGTTCTTGACCTGTCTCTCCTTTAAGTCCCCAGGCCTGTCCAGAGGGGCCAGGAACCTGTGCTCCTGTGCCCCGTGTCCTCCTGAGACCCTGCGAGGCCGGGGGAGGGCAGACAGGCTGTAGGGAGGTGTTAATTGGACGGAGCTGGACTTGGCCACAGACCAGGTCTCCTTGGGTGGGGAGTGCTGGGGTTTGGGGATTGGGTGGCAGGGAGGGGAGTCCTGTGTCCCAGACTGAGGCATATCAAAGGCCAGAGAATCTAATCATTGGGGCTAGATAAGCAGCAGGAACAGGGCCTGCTCCAAAAGTCCCAAACCAAACACTGATAATGGGTTCAGGAAGCTCTGTCACCTCTCCCACCCCATGGCCCCTAATCAGGCCTCAGATAGACAGGTGATTTTGGTCCCAGGGCCGTGGAGCCAGGGCTGGCCCCAGCCCAGATCCTGGCCCACCTAGTTTGGGGTCTGGAAAGGTGGGCCTGTGAGGGCCAGTGCAGAGCCTGCCAGGACTTTCCTTCTGCTCAGGGATCCTCCAGTGGGACACCTAGGGGCAAGGTGGGGGCCAGGGATCCAGGCCAGAGAGCTAGGGACAGGTGGCCTTTGGAGGGACCCCTCTTGGCAGGTACTGACAGACACCCCAACTCTCCCCCACATCCTGGCATCTGGAGGACTTGGCTCCTGTTCAGGCAAACCAAGGCCTGGAGCAGGAAAGGAGGCCCCAAACCTCAAGGGGTCCTCATGCACCAGCAGTGATGGAGGGGAGAAAGGACCCAGAGGCCTGGACACTCACCAAAGCCACCCCTATTCCTCTCCTGGCTAAACATCCCCTTTCCCAGATTCCGTAGGGGTCTGGAAGGGATCTGGCTGAACTTGGTCCAGCTTCCTGCCAAGTCCAGGCACACCCCACTCAGATTCTAGGAAGCTGAGACCATGATCCTGAGGCTCCAAGAGGATTTCTGAGGGACTTAGCTTTGTGCCCTTATAGGAGAAGGTGTCACCACTGCTCAGCACTGGCCCAAGCCGCCAGTGGCTTGTCCTCCAGTCACTCTCTGCCTATATGGGTCATACTCTCTGTACTGAGCTCCCCCAAGCCCGCTCTGGATAGAAGCACCCCTTCGCAGTTGCATCACTGCCGTCTCACCTACCGAAGTCCCCGGGGTGGGACGGGGGTTCAGCTTCCAGGTCACCCCGGTCGCAGGTCCAGCAGGCACAGGAGGAGCAAGGTGGGCCTCTGCGAGGCCTGGCCCGGCCGTGCGCTGGTGGAGCCTCAGCTCTGAGTCACAGTGCCCAGAGGACCCTGTTCTTTAACCTCCAGCTCCAGGGATGGGTCACTGTGTCAAGGGGCATTCTCTCAGGCCTCTGCTGAAATTTGTCCCCCCTCCCACCACATTCCTTTCTCATTCAGTAAAAGGCATCCCTACCTGCAGGGCCTGGACAAGGAGCAGGCCTCAAACCTCAGAGCCCTCCTTAATCCCTCCTGACCCTTTCCTACCCCTCGCCACCCCACCATTTCCCTGGCCAATGCCCTTGGGTCTACCTCCAAGAATGTATCCCACATCTGTTCTCCTCTCTCTTTTTCTCCTGCCACCAATGGGCTCCAAGCCACTGTCATTTCTCCCCTAGATTACCTCAACAGCCCCCTTGTAAGTCTCCCCACTTCTACCCTTTCCACCCGCCTCCTGGCCCCCTATCTCCACACAGCAGCCAGAGCCATCCCATTAGAACTCAGATCAAGTCTCCTCTGCTCCCAAGCCTCCAACAGCTAATCCAGTGGCCTCCCCCGGCACACAGGATCTCTGTACCCCAGATCCTCCCCCTGTATCCTCTTCCCCAGCCCTCTCCCCTTCCCCGCCTCCAGCTGCACCAGCCTCCTTGCTCCTTGTCACTTTTCCTGAACCTTACAGGGCCTTCCCCTTTGCTGTTCCCTTTGTCTGTGCCTTCCTTTCCTTAGCTGTTCACTTAGCCTTCGTGCTGCTCAAACCTCTGCTCCACTGTCACCTCCCCAATAAGGTCTTCCCTGACCTGTGGCCCATTCCTGCCACTCAATCACATTGCGCCTTCTGCAGTTTCTTCCAAGCTTCAAAACAGAACTAACTTGTTCATTTAATTAATTAGCTGGTTAATCATCTCACCCTCCGGAGAATGTAAGTTCATGAGGGCAGATCCTATTCGTCCTGATGACTGCTGTGTCCCCACCCGTCACCGTGCCTGGCACATAACAGGCACTCAAATATTTGTTGAGTGAGTGGCCAGGTGAATGCCCACACCTGGTCTGATCCGAGCCCCACAGCAGCCCCCTCCCATCACATGCAGGCCCATGGCTGGCTTTTCCACAGCCTACTAAGTGTAGTCGCCTCTGCCTCCCCCTTCCCTGACCATCTCGTTCCTGCCCCACCCACTCCTCTCCCCCAGACCCCAAGCCCCCAGTTTAATTGCTAGGGTTCACACTTCCCCTTCCTCCCCACCATGGTCCACTTTCAGCCGGCCTCCCCACATCATCTGGCTGTTGCTATGACAACCATAGTAGAATGAAGCTTGGGCCTGTGTCAAGCACCCACTGAGCACTTCCTGTGCATTTTCTTATTTAACATACAATGGCATTGTGGGGTAAATGTTATTTGTTTCCCTTAATAAATAAGGAAACAGGTTCAGAGAGGCTGAGTGATCTGCCTGAGGTCACACAGCTTTCAAATGACAGAGGTATGTGTTCTATCATCCTGTCTTGTGTGAACCTCACTTCTCCAACTAGACAGTGAGCTTTGGGGAGATGGGACTTTGTCAGGACTCAGCCCCCATGACCCAGATTTTGAAGCCTGGACCCGCCTTTGTGTCCAGTGAAGGCTTGGGAAATCAAGGCCACCATATTTGTATGACTGTGCATGGTCCCACCCAACCCCAACCCTGATATAGCAATACATTGATAGATTCCTTAGGCCCTTTCATCCCAGGCGGAAAGGAGCTAGTAAGGAAAGAGGCCACCACAAGCCTGTCTGGGCCAGAGAGGCAAGGCAACTCAAAGAACACCAAGAAACATCCCCACCCCAACCCATCCCAATGCCCGATGCCCTCCAGCCACTCCTTCCAGCTCTGTTCACATCTCCTCTCAAGTGCTCCACAGACTGCCCGGCTCTCCCCAGCCCAGACAACATGCAGTCAGGATTAGAGGTTTCATTGCTTTTACATTCCTCTTCCCAGAGTCAGAGTCCCCAGTTCCCCATCTCGTCACCCCCACATTTTGTCCCATCCAACTCTTTCTAGAATCTTCACACCCAGAGGGGAACCAGGCCAGGCTACAAAGGGGAAGATGGAGGGAGGCCATGGGACCCCCAAGGGACCAGGCCCCCCCAACTAAAGGGGCTGACAGGAAGGAGGAGAGACGGCTGAGGAAACACCCCTGTCAATCAGCAGGCACTGGGTGGGGTTAAGGTGCCCCCCAACCCCCCCCACACTGCTCATTAGCTCAGTCATTATATTAACAATCCCTTGAGAATAAGCATAATGACGGCGTACACCTGGAGCACGAGTGATGCTCTCCCTCACCAGACCTCCCCCCAGCCCCTCTCCACAGGCATCTACTGGGCCCTGGGACAGGAATGTGCATCCCCAGAGAAACAGCCCAGAGAGGCCAAGAAGAGGGTTCAGCTGGTGAGTGAGGCAGGTGGTCGGAAGGCTTCCTACCAACGTGGGCAGGCAGAGCAGGCAAAAGGAGAGCTAGGCTGAGAACCCCACATGCCACAGCAAACTCTTGTGACCCACGGGAACCCCCTCCCTGCCCCCATCTCTGCTCTCCCATCACCTCCAGGTTCACAGCGAGAGCTGGGGCCTCTAAACTCCAGGACAGACCCAGATAAACAATAAGAAATGTCAGCTGAATGAATGGACAGCTTGGAATTTGATTTAACAAACCAAGAACTCTAATATCAAGTGGCCACTAAGGGGCTAGGAACACTGTGGAAGTTACTGGCTGGTGTCGGCCAGCTCTAAGGCCCCGGGAGCAAGAAGGGCCAGTCACGTGAATGCTAACTCGGGCAGAAGTGTAATGTCTTGAACAAGGATGGCATTGGGCTGAAGGAAGGTGAGGATCAGGCCTGGTCAATTCTGAGTCAAACACAGAGCACAGAGCACAGAGGGCTGGACAGAGGGGAGAATACCTTTCTCGTTATGCAGGAAGGACCATGTTCAGGTGAAAATACTTGCCGTTTACTGTGCACTTATATGGGCTCACTGCCACAGCTCCTGCTGGGAAGACATCCTCTTATTTGCTCCTCACAACAATTTCATGGCGGAGGGACTGTTCTTAACCCCGTGTCACGGAGGAGGAAACTGAAGCATGAAGAGGTCAAGTTGTTAGTAAGTGATGATGCCAAGTTTCGAAGTTCAGCTCCCTTGGCAGAGAGGCTAGACTTAGTCATGTGTGGGTCCGTGAGCAGAATGAGGACCTAACAAGGGACAGTATTAGGGACATCATAAAAGACTCGAGTGGAGGGAGCACTTGTGAGATAATGAGCTCCCCATCCAGGACGTGTGTGAGCAGAAACCTGAGAAGCCTCTCCAGGAATCCTGTCAAAGGGATCCCTAGATGGGTCCCAGCTCAGTTGACCTATGAGATTCCATCCTGGACTCTGTGATTCCGTAAGCACAGAGCCCAGGGGGCCCACACAGCCCCTTTCACCCTTGCCTCAGCCTTCCATAGCCTTCTGGAGTTCCAGGGGGACCCTAATTATAAAACCCCCTCTACCTGTGTGTATGACTCCCCTTGAAGGGAGGTTCTGGCCCAACCTGACACCTCCTGGGGGGCAGAGGTGCCTGGAGGAGAGGGCGGCGGGGGCAGGCGAGGTCAGGCCTCCCCCTGCATACCCACCCATGGGAGGGGAGCCATTCCAAGGCACCCAAAGAGCAGAGGGACAGGGTTGGTGGGTGGGCGTCGGGCAGACCCCAGGGGAAAGCAGGTTCACCTTGTCATTAACCAGGCAAGGCCCCGGCTTGGAATTCAGAAGGATTCCTGAGGGGGAACACTGGAATGCAGCCCCTGCCGACACCCGGCCCACTTCTACATGGAGCGGCACCCAACATGTTATCCCCAAAGCCCACCCGAGGGAACAAAGCCCCTTGGGGCCAGGTTGGGAGCTGTGACTCGGAAAGACACACGACTGGCAGGCAGCCCCAGCTCAAGCCACTAATTAACTTCATGGCCTGAGGCAAGTCCCTTCACCTCTTGGCCTGCTTCCTCCTCTGCACTGTGGTGATAACAATCCCGCCCAGTGAGCCGAGAGAGATAAATGGTCCATCAGGCCCTGTGGAAAGCCGCCTGTGTTTATACTCTTGCAAAGTGCTATTATTATTATTACCCAGGGGTGGGCTCGGGAGGGCCCCTCCTGGTCTGACCTGAAATGTCACTCCTGGACAGGATGCTGGCTCCTGTCCTTTCCTGAGGGCAGCCCAGGGGGTGGGAAGGGCCTGTTTCTAAAGAAGAGAACTGAGCACTCAGCAAACATTCACCCCATAGGTGATGATCGTTGGATGATGATGGCGCTGGAAACGGATTCCATCTGCACACCACACCCCGACATTGGCAGGGCAGGCTCAAACACAGGAGCCATGGTCTCCCCCTTGGGCATCACTCCTGCCCACCCCTTCCCGCCAGGAAAGCCATCCACTCACACCCCACCCTCGCCAACGGAGGAAAATTCCTGCAGTAGACCTCATGGGTTAGAGGCAATGACCTGGGGAAGGGACAGGGAAGGTTGGCAGCCACACTGGGTTGGGAGCCAATTCCTGGGACATATCCTGGACCCCAACCCAGTGCCCCACAAATATGCAGCCTGAAGGATTACAACTTGCTCTGGGGGAGCCCCCCCAGGTCTGACCAGGCTCTGGCGATCCCTGAGAGTAGGGTTGAACTGCTTTTTTTTTTTAATTGAAATATAGTTAATTTACAACATTGTGTTAGCTTCAAGTGTACAGCCAAATGACTTGGTTATATACATACATATATTCTTTTTTTGGTTGTTCTTTTCCATTATAGGTTATTGTAAGATACTGAATACATGAACTGCTCCTTCGAGTTGTTCAGCAGAGGAGCAGCAATAAGCCTGAGGTTGGTGTTGGGGGCGGAAGAGTTGTGACTACCTGTTTGTTTTTTGTCTTTTCCTGGAGAACAATTGGATTAAGACAGCTTGCCCAGGTTTGTCTACTTCCAAAGTGGTCTCATTATCTCCTTGGCTACTTCTCACAACTAGCTCTGCGTTTTCCAAGTGCAAAGGCTGAATGAGGCCCATTTGGGGTAACCAAATGCTCAAGAGAGCCCAGATAACAGCCGAGTAAGCTATTGCTCTCCTGACTCAAGCCAAGTTCCTGGCTTCCCCACGTCAGGGACCACGAGTAAGCGGGAAGTCACTAGCACGGCCAGGGTCCCTGGGCCTGGTCCTGGCATGGCCATGCCTGCCTATCTTGGTGATCCTGTTTGGAGAACCCACTGCTCCTAACTGTGGAGGCCAAACGGAATAGGGGGAGTTTGGGAGGACACGGAGAAAGCAGAAGCAGGCTGCCTGGGTGGGCAGCAGAGAGAGGACAGCACTTCCCTGCAGCGTGGGGAGACATGCATAAATCTAGCCTGCTGCGGGTGATCGCTCAGTTCCGGGGATCAAAAGGAGGTAAAGGAGAGAAGGGTTTGGTGCCAGCTGCATGCTGAGCCCCAGGTTGAAGGGCCTCTCACATCCTCTGTGGCCAGCCCTCCTTGTCCGT